TGGAAATAATAGATCAGATAAAAAAATTAATGAATTGATGATTCAGTTTGATTAGTGGCATGCTATGGTTCAGCGGAAAGTTCGCTGCACCAGGTAGTCATGTTATGCCCACACATGGTTAAATCAGGCTGGAGAGCTTCCTGTCCTGTGAATGATATGGTGACAGATTGGCTAGACACAGGTGAGATTTGAACCGCCTACATGTAGCGTAATAATCACTGAACTAGATTCAGTCGATGGGTGGCCATCGCATATTCCCACCTTTTGGCCCCCCTTTGAATGTCGCCTCCATATTTCGAAAGGCTCATGCTCATCTGTGGTGATAGATCAATGCATAGCCCCAAGTCTCTAACTTCTAAGTAGAACGGTATTGGAGAAGTTAAGTAATGTTACATTTGCTTGTTTGGATTATCTCCCCTAGCTCCGCTTCCAAATGTTGCATCAAATTTCCAAATGGCTCATGAACATCTGCGATGATAGATCAATCAATCCCCAATGTTTGAAGTCTCTACTTTGAACGGTCTAGGTGGAGTTAGGTAATACGACATGCTGGTATGTATTATCTCCCCTAGCTACACTTCCGAATGTTGCCTCAAAATTCTAAACGGCTCATCTATGCCTGGGATGATAGACCAATCAATCCCCAAAGCTTTCATTTGACATACAACATGACCTGATTTGACAAAAATTCAGTTTGACCTTCCGATGACCTTTGCCCTGCCCCCTCTCTATCGTGTGCCAGAACTCGAAATTAAAAAAAACGTTACATATGTTTTGCGTCTTGACCTTGTAAGTATGTTTGCAAGGTTTTGTGTAAAAAAATAGCAATTTACGCAGTAATTGCGTTTTAACGAATTTGACCTTCCGATGACCCTTGCCTACCCCCGAGACCCCGCCCACCCAACGCTGTGGAGCAAAATAAGTACAAATGCATAGTTCTATTATCGCACCATCACAAGCTTTCAGTTGACATACAACATGACCTGATTTGCCCAAAATTCAGTTTGACATTCTGAAGACCTTTGCCCCGCCCCTCCCTCTCGCGTTCCGGAAGTCGAAATAAAAAAAAAAGTTACATGTTTTGCGTCTTCACCTTGTAAGTATGTATGCAGAGTTTTGTGTAAAAAAAATAAAAATTGACGCCGTAATTGCGTTTTAAAGAATTTGACCTTTTGGCCCCATCGCGGGGGGGGGAGTCAAAATTCAGAAGAGCTCATGCACATTCCCGATGTTGGGTCTATCCATCCCAAAAGTTTCAAGTCTCTACGTCAAATGGTCTAGAATCATGTATTACCCCCACCCCCCGTCGTACGTACGTCCGTCCGGCCTCGGCGGCCTGAGGGTCTCTGTTGACGTTGAGTTCGTTTTTATTCCTGCATGCTCGGTTCGCGTATCGTAGGGTGCTCACCGTCTGCTCGCGGTTGGTGTCGGCCGGGCTGACGCAGGCGATCAGAATTGTCATGGTGTTACCACCAAGCGAATCTGCAAACCAACAGAGAATTTCGTCAGTGCAAGTTATTTTTAACTTAATTTGAATCTAACTGAGGTAAACTTTATTAGCGTATGGCAACAGAAACATCAGCGGACAAACAAGAAAAAGACATACAACTTCAGCAGAGCCGCCGAGCATTCTAAGCTCGGAGAGTGTCACACGGATAGAACAAATCAAAGCACGACTTTTTACAATTAAGTCCTAACACTATTATTTATTCCTAACACTCAACTCTCCCTGTCCAATATGTGGGATGATTTCAGATAGCTCAGGAACCTTATTAACTATCTCTAGGTCATGCAATCGCTGAATTGAGCGTTGCAAGCAGCCCTTAGCTGTACGGAGTGTCACCGATCGAAAAGCGTGTATGTGAACACATTTGGGACTAACAGGGTTTACTAGAATCCCACCACTCCACCACAGAGTCACCGCAGTAGACGTTAGATGAGCGCTGTCGCTTTGCGGCACTTGTTATATTTTATAATAATGGAGTATCTTTGACATATATATGTCAGTAATTACACTAGCAGTTAAGAGTAGTGTATATACATTTTAGTGAAACCGTCAAATGAGGACAATGCGTTGGAAGGAGGAAGAGCGTCGTACAGTGGGAAAACCTACAGAAGGTATGCAAGCGAAATTGCAGGCACCTCAATCTGCACGATTTGCTAACGCTCCATTAGGAGTGTTCCCAACTTTGATATCATTAATGGTGTGACCTAATTAATGTCGTTATATGTAGTTATACGTTATATGTAGTTATACGTTATATGTAGACCTAACCCTAACCCTATAACCTAACCTATAACCTAACCCTAACCATTAATAATATTAAAGTTTGGAACGCTCCTAATGGAGTATCACCCCACGATTTTGGTAAATTTTAAACATATATACATGAAATATATTGATTGATCCCTGATCAAACAAATTGTAGTCGTATTCCTTGTAAATAGTAAACCTTATTAAAATTTTGTGTTCCTCCTTTTCAGAATCACGTAGGGAAACTGCATAGAAGAGAAATTATGCAGAGAAGCTACAGGCATTTTACAGTTTACAGTGAGTTTATCTGACACATTATTTGACATGGTGTTTCGAAAAATTGGTTCTTTTATAAAATAAGAGTTTATTCACATGAACATTTTGTTTATCGAAGTACTTTCCCCTACAAAAGAACATGGAGTTTATTGTTATGTTTACTACATGTATTGCATAAATTTCTATTTTTATTGTCAATCTGTAAATTTCAGACAAAAAGATAATGAGGAAGAACCGGGGTTGGTTCATATGGAGCAGACTGCAAGGTTTTAATATGGCGTAAAATTTGGCTTGTCATCATTAGTTTAAGGATGTTTCTCTCCCTCTCGCATCGTCTGTGGGATCCTTTTGTGTGTATGTTTACCTAAATTTATGGTTAACTTATAATATAACCTAGGAACTTTATTGTGGTTATTCTGTAACTAAGAAAATGAACTTTGGATGAGTGGTTGGATGATATGATTATATGTCACTTCAGACTCGAGAAGCAGCTATCACTGATAGAGAAACGAGAGTCGATTTAGCGGTGGAATGTTGATTCAGAGGAGCTGCGAGAAAAACCCAAGATGAAAAACGGAACGCTATTCTTGAGAAAGTTATCACATGTGCTACAGAAAGAACCTACCTGATCACCTTGCTAAAGAAATATGCAGGTGTGATAGTACATTTCAAAATGTCACATTTATTTGTAATGTATCAAGTGGGATGGTTTGTCAGATCCATGTATATTTACTTAATGATTTCTCTTACAAGAAAATTTCAAATTAGAATTTATAAAGATTCTAAATATAGATTCTGATAACTTGGTGATTGAGATTTTTTATCAGCTGCCCTGAAATTGTGGAATAAGCTACCTAGTCATATTCGATGTGAACAGTCGGTGGAATATTCTATTCGCCTAGTCAAACCTCATCTATTTAACATTGCATTTAACACATAGACATTAAATTTGTAGGTATACATTTGAGTTATGTTCTATTTGTTGGAAATGTTATATGATTGTCGTAATTTTGGCATCTATATTCTACAGTGTTGCAGTCCGCTATTTTATAATCAGCCTTTGTAATGCGCACGTGAACATATTTGCATGCAACGTGCGCAATGTAAATATATATAGGGTTCTCCAAGAGCACTTATAGCCTGGCAGCCCGCCAGGTTATCGCCGAGCCCCGCCATTCTAAAATGCACCCGCCACTCTAAATGTCATAGCCGCCATGCTAAATATCATAGCCCCCGGACCCCCCTAGCACGCAAACCGCCTTCGCCGATTTGCAACTATAGGACCGTAAAGGCAGAGCACGCGCGCCCATGCTATATGAACAAGCTTGCAGAACCCTGCTATAATTAATCTATCTATATATAATATATATATATTATAATATATATAATATATATTATATATATATACAATATATTAAATATATATTCGTGTCTTCTTCTTCTAACCCCTTCTTGAAGTTAATGCAAAGCAAATTTTCGTCATGATTAATTTCAACTAACTCACATTTTTAAAAATAAGATGGGCAAGCAGTCTTCAAGAAGCTCAAGCAGTCAGCTAAAGAGGTCACCTCCAACTTCAAAGATTATCGAAACCTACAATGCATGGGACAGCCACCTCTGAGATTTATTCCGCCACACTTGTACTTTGCCGTGCTGTGACACAAATGATTTTCTAAAACGGCTTGCTCAAGACGAATCGAGTTCTTATTGATGGAATCCCGTTAGCATAGGAAGATGTGTATTGATCATTTAATGTCACAAGGAAAGGGGTATCGGAGAGCTATTGATCCTAAAAGAAGAATATAAGAATGCTATCAAATATTAGGAGAAAAGCACAGGTTTCTTGTAAACCTCACAGCGACGCGAGAAGATACCACCCGTCTCGGAGCAAGGCCGCTGTGTTTCCTGAAGGAGAAGGCATTGAACATAGAGTGGAGTAAATGAGCTAAGGAAATTTACAGCGAGGAATTTCTAGGGGAGGGAATGGAATTGCAATATACTGTGTTAATCACCTGTGCAAAAACAATCAGGAAAGTGTGGCAACATTGAATATTGAGACGAGCTGGACGAAATTACAGCATTAGAGGTGAGCAGTGAAGATGAAGACACTGATGGTGAGGAGAATTGAAAGGAAGTGTAAATTCAATATAAAAGTTATGACTTGTAACAATCGTGAAAATTCTATTGTAATGAATACTAACTGTATCTTTATTTTCATGCCTTTCCACCATAGGTTATTGTGGCATCGCTTTCTGATTTATTGATAATGAGCTTCCACGAATTTCATCACGGAATGTCACCGAAAGGCTTACATCGTGTGTATTTTTATAAATATAGGGCAGAAATGTATGGAAACTGACCAGAGTTGAAATATGTACTTTTACTGCACACTTTTTACAAATACTGAATCAGTTTATTATAATTATCTCAATTATTGTCATTAACCATCGCTTTAGTTGAAGTTGACGCTACGCATTTATGTCATAACGCTCCCCCTACACTATCGTCAGATTAACAAATTCTACATGCGAACACCATACCGTATACGAGCACATGTGTGCGTATTCAGCGGCATATCAGCGATATACCATCCCTCAAAGAAGAAATAGAACGACCTGCAATCACCTTTCCTAGCGAATACACGCTGGAAAATGACGTCAGGGAAAGGCTAAGGTGTCCCATTTAATAAAAAAATATAGGTGGCTATTGGTAGAATAAAATATTACTTTTATGAGCACTTCTACAAAAAGCCTATCAGTTTTATTATTATCTCATTATTTGTTATTAAATTCAAATCAACAATAATTAAAGTGACGCATACGCCAATTAATATCATAACGTAACGTATACGACTATTGTCAGTCGTTTAACGAAATTCTACATCGAAGCCGTTTTGGAGTATACGCATGGGGTAGATAAAATAGCTATATAAATGGACGCTGGATAAAAATCAAACGGCATGCAGTGCCCCGCCGCCACCCTTCGCACACTCAGGATATCATGTAGATTAGACCAATAAGACGAGAGCGCAATCTGGTCGTGGCAGTTTGGATGAAAAATCATTGGTTAGAAACAAGCCTTGACAGGATAGCTAAGTCGGCTTACTATCTTATCTGCATTAATTAGCATTAACTCATTATTATCAAAAGTAACACATACGGCATTTATTAACATAACATCCAACTAACTTCGTCGATTAACAGAAATTCTAACATCGAGCCGTTTAAGAGTTGACTATATGGGGTCTGCATTTTATGATTATCGAATACTTACAGAGAACGCCGTTCGTGATACAAGCTCTCGTCAATACTCACCTTGCCTAGTAGACCGGATCATATAACTTCACAACGCTAATAACTCTCAAGCTAACTAAGCACTGATACATGCCGCTATACACTCTGTGCATGCTTTCGCTATCCCACCAAAATATGAGTGGTATACGCCGTTATAGGCGTTTCGCCGCGTATAGCGCTTATATATGCATGACAAATACGAGGAAAAACGTTCATCGACGTTATGTGCTTCTATATTCGTGGGTTTTCAAATTTTAACTAAACATGTCACAAAAGGCAAGCCTCTCTTACACCCCTGCCCTTACACGCGATCTCTGTGCATTGCTTTCGCTATCCACGCCAATATTATGTATAGCGTATAGGCGCTTTGCGCGTAATACGTTATATAATATACTAATACATCACGAGAAGAAAACGTTCATACGACGTTATGATTGCTTTCTATATCGTGGGGTTCAAGAGAGTTTTAACTAAACATGTCAGATCAGCAAAGCCAATCTTACAGCACCCTGCCCTATACACGCGGCACTCTGTGCATTGCCCTTTCGCTATCCCCGAATATGAGTGATACGGGTATAACGCGCTTGCGCGTATACGGTTATATATGCATGAACACATTACGAGGAAAACGTTTCATCGAGCAGTGCTGCTGTGCACTTCTGATTTTGCTACTCCGACCATCTATGTTACCTGTATTACGCTATGCTAGCTCGATCGTATAGAATATTTGTTAATCTGAACGAAAATAGTTATTGTTAGATGATTAAAATGCGTGATGCGTTACTCTTATAAATGAGCATTTATGCTAATTATGCAATAAGTGATAACTTGATTAGCTATGACTGCCAAGTGCTAGTCTTAAAGAGTAATAATGTATTCATCGCAAACTCCACGACAACGATGACGACTCTCGCGTCATGCGGCTCAAATCTACAATGATAATCCGGAGTGTAGCGAAGAGGGAAGGGGGCAGCTGCATGGCAGATTTGATTTTATATCTGATCCCATATTCTACCGTCCCCCTATTTTATAACAATGGACACTGTAGCTCTCCGTTACGTCATTTTCAAGCGGACTTTGAATTCGCTAGAAAGGTTTATTGCCGGGCTCTGTTTATTATCTTTGCGCGGGAGGTGAATAGATTAACTGATACATACCATGTATACATTGAACAGAATCGTGGAGCACGTATGCAATAGCTCCATACTATTCAACGCCATACTGCGCGCCGCGTGTTATCGCCATGCATTTGCAATCAAGAGAAACGAAAATTCGCGTTAATAACTAATAGGCTGGGCATAAATTTTATGACAGTTTAATTGATATTGGTAGCGGCGTACTATACTATAGTAAACATAAAAATTACAGTTTATAAGTATTAGTAGTTTCTAATTACGTGATCGCACTTCTAATCGACCCATACAGCTCAGCCGCTGTCTTCTCAGCCATAGTCGTCGTAATCGTCTGCTTACAGTCTGTATTCAGTCAGATCACTAATATATTATATGTTGGCCAAACTTTGTTTATTGTTCTTGGCAGATCTCATTAAACAGCAGAATCTATTCAATTTTTGCCATAAAAATGTTTCTTACTAGTCACTAGTTCCCTTTTATGTAGCGCGCATTTTGATTGCAGCTGGTGCTTATAGCATGCAAAGGCTTGCTCCGCTCACGTTTTCTAATGGTGGCCAAGCATTCCAGCCTAATATTGCCATCTCTGATCTTCGGC